ACTGTAACACCCAGGCTGTAAGGAGGAGAGGACACAGATCAGGAAATGAACCAGCCCCCAGGAGAGCCCTGCTCCCTGTCCTGCTGGCGACAGTTGCTGCTTTGAAAAGTTCATGGAGGAGCACCCCTCGCAAAGTGATGAACTTAAATACGTCTTCAGTGGAACGGAGTCGCCTCTCTGCCGTTGTCAGTGTGCTTTTGGTCACAGAGCCCTTCATCCACCTTCTGCCAGGGCTGCCGAGGTTCCTGCTGAACTCTCCCCGTCCTGGAAATGGGGCCAGACTTCTGTCCAAGACTGCCCTGAGCCCCACAGCGGGTCATGCAGGCAGGGACGGCCAGCAGCCGCTGTCAGCGACTGGCTTCTCCCTGAGCCTCTGCCAGGCGCTTGACTGGTTGCCCGTGATCCGCCACCGAGGTCACTGTAGTCGGTGTCTGACGGTGCAGCTGTGAATGATCACTGGACGGGCTCCCTCTGACAGGCAGTATCTGAGCACCCTGGCAAGGCAGGGCGTCTCCTGACGGATGGCTGGAGAGGGTGCCGGGCGGGGCCAAAGAGTTAACTGAATGGTACCTAATTCATTTCTAATTATTCATATCCACACTCTTTTTTCTCTCTTTATCTTGGAGCTGGGCTGGGCCTTAGAAATAGGCAAGAAAGCCGTAGAGCAGAGGCGGCAAGAGCAAGGTTTGAGCTTCTTTGTTTAGTAACGATGTCGAGTGACTTCACTTCTGGACCTCAGTTTTCTTATCTGTAAAATGGGTTTTGTGAGCAGTCAACAAGATAATGTCTATAAAACATCGAGTGCAGTGCTTAGCCCATTCAGTAAGTACTGTTATTACCCAGTCCCACCCTCCCCCTTTATAGGTTCACTCGTCTGTTCGGCAGGTATTTATTAGACAGCCAAGCAGTGTGTAGTGCAGCTTTCGAAAGTGGGGAATGAAAGTATTCAAGCGAGTGTATGTTCATCGCCAAACAACCCAACACAAAGCCGGCGACATTTTGCTGTGAAGAAAAAGAAAGAAAAGCAGGCGGGGGCTGGTGTGACCGTGGGTGGGAGGCGGGGTTTCTACTACAGACAGTACAGTGGATAAAGAGACCTAAAGAAGTGGAGGAGTGAGCCATGCCGATCCCCAGGGGAAAGGCAGTCCAGGCAGAGGGAACGGCAGGTGCAAAGGTCCTGAGGTGGAACTATGCCTAATGCGCTTGAGGAGGAGCCAGGAGGCCAGTGCAGCCAGAGTTCGGAGACTGGGTAGGCACGGCATTGGAGAGGCTTCCTGGAGCTGCCTGATGCTGTGATGGGGGCTTTAGGCTTTTTTAAGGTAAAGGGAGGGCAGTGATGTCCTGAATGGAGGAATGATGTAGTGAAGTTTACAAGGAAACACTCTCAGTTAAGATGTCAGAAAGTCTACAGACAGCCTTTCTTCCCTGGTTCCTGGAGGGGGACCAGGGCAAGGCCGGCTGGTCCTCTAATTTGAGCATCCATCACGGGATCCTCCTGTAACAGTTATTACCGTGGTGTTTGCTTCAGGGTGATTGCTATTCCCACATCCCTTCCACATTTATTAATTGGAAGTCTGTAAGGACGAACTTTCCCTTTTCCTTTATTTACTTATTCAACAGCTTATGGTATGTACTCAGACATTTATTTTGTCCTCTAGGTCACAAGCCCATACTATTATTGTTTATTTGCTGGTCAAATTGTTCTAGCTTCGGTCACTGGGGGCTCCTTCGGGTGGGCTCCTCTGTCCTGTGGCCTCCATCATGAGCACTGCTCTACTTCCTGGCAAATAAGACACTCCATGTATGTTCATCTTGTATTTCCCCTGGAGTCAGCCACTTCTCCAAGGAGCCCTGCGTCTCTTGACTGGAGGTGGTATTTAGAAGCCACAATCTGGGCGCTGGGTGTGCTCATTGCGTTGGGGTACATTGATTGTTTTCAGCCTCTCTCAGCTAGGAAATATGTGTAAGTACACTAAGCCCTGAATACACACAAATCAATCTTCCTCCTTCCCTTCCTTCCTGTCTCTGTCTGTCTGTCTATCTATCTATCTATGCAAACCTTGAGTTCATATGGATGCCTTCAAACACAGTCCAAAGCCTCCGCGTTCGTTTCTGCCTTACCACCCACTCTCTTTGTTTGTAGCCTCTCCCTCTGATGGTGGAAACCCTCGCTGTTGCTGTCTGCAGTGATTCACTCCCTTGTTCCACCCATACACACGCTCCTTTCTGAGTCGCTGACCCTACCCTGTGACAAACATGCAAGCAGAACACTGTGTTTGTGTCCAGCTCTTTCTCTCCAGCCTTTGGGAGTCCTGTCCCCATAATGGTTTCGTAGTTACATGGCTAGTTCTTGTCTTCCTTCAGTGTGATGGTGTGATTCATCTGTGATACAGTTGTGTTCATTTGTTGCTGTTTATATTGTGCGCACACACACACGCACGGTTGATTTTCATTGCTTACTTTTTGGAGAAGAAATACTATCATGGTTCCAAGAGTCGGAGTTGTACAGATAGACTCAGAGAAATGTGCCGCCTCCTCCTCCTGCCGCCTCACTCCAGTCCCAGTACCATCCTTTCCAGCCCTTCCCCCGCCCCTAGGTGACCAGTGCTTTCAGTGTCTGTTTTTCCTTCCTGTATTTCTTTTTCTTTCTTTTAAAAAAATTTTTTTTAATATGTTTTCACTGATTTTTTTTTAGAGAGAGAGGAAGGGAGAGAGAGACAAAAACATCAATGCGAGACAGAAACATTGTTGTGAGACAGAAACATCGATGCGAGACAGAAACATCGATAGGCTGCCTCCTGCACACCCCCCTGGGGATCCAGCCCGCAACCTGGGCATGTGCCCTGGCCAGGAATCAAACCAGGACCTCTCAGTCCGTGGGATGACGCTCAGTCTACTGAACAACACCACCCGGCCCTGTGTTTCTTTTTCACAGATGAGACAATACATGTATATTTTCTTACACCCCTTTCTCTCGCTATGTGGAGGGTTAAAGTCCTGTAGATACTCTCTCGCACTTTGCTTTTTCCACTTAATAATGTGTCCTGGAGGTCATTCATATCAGTTCACAGCGAGCTTTCATAATGAGCTTTTTTAACTTTAGTAATCAGAAAAAAACTAACCCAGCAGCCCAGGCTCAGCCTTGGAATTCTGTATGCCGCACTGCTGCTGGTGACGAATAGCCTGAGCGTTATCAGCAGTTGAGCATCTATTGTATGCCATGCTCTGTGCTAAGCATCTTATATAGATTATCACTCTGAATCCTTCACCAGCCCCGTGAGGCGATGTTAGCTCCAGTTTACTGGTGAGGAAACGGAGGCTCAGTGATATTTAGAAACTCCCCAAGGTCATTAAAAATCGAGCCCCCATTCAAACTCTCTCCCAAGGCTGTGCTCTGTGAAGGGCACACCTGCACCGTTGCACAACTTCCAGGTTCAAACTAAGCCATGTGGCCTTTTAAAACCTAGGCATGTCCCAGGCCTCCAAACCCTCTTGATTGTGAATCACCTGCTGATGGCAGCGGCATGTTGCTGATGGCAAGAGCGTGAAGGTCAGGCATTGCCTGTCTGCTCCAAACAGTGGCCCTTCCTTCTTGAGGACCATGCGTCCTGCCTCTGAGACGGGAGACAGGAGGGATGCTAGGTGGGATCTGCTACCCAGGATGCAGCAGCAGACCTGATCGTGCACCTTGCTCATCGCCAGCCGGAGCAGCCGGCACCGCCGACGGGAAAGTGCACTACACCACGGCAGTGTGGCTAGCAGGACGCTCAGACAACCCGAGCTGCAGCGATTCTTTCCGGGCTGTTTGTGCAGCAGAAGTGGAGGGAGAATTTCTTTGAGCAGGAGTCTGGCTCTGTTTCGAGAAGGGACAGCCTTTGGCAGAGAGGCAACACGATAGAGTGGGTTGAGAGCGTGGGCTGAGAGTCAGTGCCCGGAGCCTCAGGCCAGCGCCGCACGTTCTAGCCGTGTGACTTTGGGAAAGTCACTGCATCTTCAAAGCACGCCTGGTAGATGGGGATAAGAACTCTATCTATCTTTGTCAGGGGTCCCCCAGACTGTCCCAAGGTTTGGTGATTTGCTGGGAGGATTCACAGAACTCAGCCTGTGATTTATTACAGCAAAAGTGTCCAAAGCAAAACCGGCAAAGGGAAGAGGTGAATGGAGTGAGGTCCAGAAGAAACACGTCCAGGCTTCCGGGTGGCCCCCCCAGGGGTGTCGTGCAGGATGCACTTGATCCCCCATGTCACATTCCCTACTGGGGAAGCTCGCTAGAGGCTCAGTGCCCAGGGTTTCTCCTGGGAGCTGGTCACACGGACACCCTCTCCCAAACTCTCGGGGAAAAAAAATGAAACAAGAAAAGCAGGTGTTTGCATAAACTGCACTGTTCGCATAAATAGTCTGGGCCCAGTGAGCCATTCTTATGAGAGAATGGGGCGAACCCTACTGACATCCAGGTTCCCGGGTGCCAACCAAGCCAGGGCCAACCTTGCCAGCAAGCCTTTCCAAGGATAGCAGTCTCAGGCCTGTTGGGTTCACTTTGTCTGCACGCCGTCCCGCTGGGTGGCTGCTGGCTGGGTTAATAGAGACGATCCACGGGGAGCCCGGCCGCTCTGTTCGTGTAGTGAGTGGGTGTAGGCGATGACTCGGAGATCAGGGAATGCGTTTGGAACGGCTCATTACGCCTGAGGACACGCTCCCTCCGTCACCCGTGCACTCGCCCGTCCATTCCCATGGGGCACATCTGGAGGGAGCCCTGATGCAGCCAGTCCTTGGCCTCCTTGGACTTTGGAAGCAGCGGGAGCCACTGCCTTCCCAGAGGGTGGTTCACCTGGGCTCAGTCTGGCTGGGTATCGGATATGGGTGGTAGCGAGAGACTCCCAGAGACTTCCAGGTAAATGTATGGGTCCCATGTGCACACTCAGAGTTAGCGGGATGGGTATGCTGTGGTCGGAAAACTTAACCTCCGATGTCTTGCTCTTTGTCCTGTTTTCCTCCTGCAGCCAAGGCTAAATCGAAATGCGGCCCGACGTTCTTCCCCTGTGCCAGCGGCATCCACTGCATCATCGGCCGCTTCCGGTGCAACGGGTTTGAGGACTGTCCGGACGGCAGCGACGAGGAGAACTGCAGTAAGTGACCCCTGCTCACCCCAGCCGCCCGCCGCCTCCCTGCAGCACTGTCGTCGTGGGGCTCCTCCCTCCCGTAGGCTCAGGCTACTCCCTCCCGTAGGCTCAGGCTACTCCCTCCCGTAGGCTCAGGCTCCTCCCTCCCGTAGGCTCAGGCTACTCCCTCCCGTAGGCTCAGGCTACTCCCTCCCGTAGGCTCAGGCACTTTCTGCCGTGGCCCAGATTCTGTTCTTCACCATGTCTGTCTTGTGTAAACGCTCAGCTGCTGTTTACCACGCACTATCCTAAGCACGCTGGGCCCGAGTGTACTGTGTTTCTGGTTCTGACAGTAGCTGTGCAGAGGCAGGTGTCTGATCCCCGTGAACAGGTGGGGACTCTGAGATGTGGAGAGGCGAAGGAACTCCGCTGTCACGGGGCTCACAAGTAGCAGAGCCCGTTATAGGGTCGTTCAGACCCTCCTCTGATTGACTCTCCCACCCCACATCCCAGGTCTGCATGCTTGTTTTCCTTCTTACTTTGAATTCTTTTTAAAAAAAGATGTTTCTATATCAATTATATACATACTATAAGAATATATTTTTGAAAAACAAACAGCATAGAAAACGAAAGTTTTTGATTTTTGACCACCCTGATTCCTTCTACCTGCTGTATAATATTCCTTGGTATCTGCACCCGCCGCCCCTTGTTCTATCCACCCCGCCTTGCCTCTTAGCTCTCTCATTGCTGCGTGTCGTACTCCTTGGCCTGGGTACGTGCAGCCCCTTCCTTGCCAGCATCTGTGCCCCAAAACCCCTCACGCCCAGCAGCATCACTGGCCTCCCAGCATCTCTTCCCCGTCGCTCATTCTGCTCCATCTCTTCCAACAAGCTGCTTTGTCCCTGAGGCTGCTCACTGTGGTTCCTGCTCACTGGTTCTTCTTTGCTTTCCCCTTAGTGTTCAGACTCCTGGAGCCTTTGGCACCGTAGTCGGCTCTGGACAAATGTACACACTTGTTTTCTGTGTCTACATATTTTAATAACATTTTTCTTCTGATTATTAAATGAACTTACAAAATACAGGAAAGTATAAAGAGGGAAACAAAACTACCCAGAATGAAACATTATTAATATTTGGGCTATTTTGTGCCAGTCCCCCCCCCCCCCCACCATGTTCTTTAATGTGCTTAATTGAGATGTCCTCTTTCCTGTGACCATTCTCTCCTGTTATCAGTTTTTTTTCAAAACAAGTTTTAGTCCGGCTGGTGTGGCTCAGTGATTGAGCATCGACCCATGCACCAGGAGGTCGCCAGTTCTATTCCCTGTCAGGGCACATGCCCAGGTTTTGGGCCCGATCCCCAGTGGGGGGCGTGCAGGAGGCAGCCAGTTGATGTTCCCTCTCATTGATTTTTCTAGCTCTCTCTCCTTCTCACTTATTCTCTCTCTAAAATCAATAAAGGAAAAATATTAAAAATACAAAAACAAAAAACAGCAGCAACAAAAAACACGTTTTAGTGACTTCAGCAATTGTTTTGATAAATTGATTTTCCTTTATCCTGTCGGTTCTATTTTAAGTCCCTGAAGAGGAGGGTGGCTGTCTCCTGTGTTATTTATGTCTTTCTAGGGAACAGTGATCACTATACCTTCCCAGCAGGGACACGGGGGGTTCATAACTCTCCCCGGTGCCTTCTCCCGTTTCCTTATTTCATCTTCTGGTCTCAAATGGCAGAAATACAGCGTAGCCACTAGGTTATCGAGTGGTTGGTACAGGGGCGGAAAGCCGCCTTCGCGGGAGGGCTGCGTGGCACCGACGGGTCGGGCTGGCTGAGCAGAGGCATCTGCAGCTGCGCTCTGTCCTCAGCTTGGGTTTACCCTGAGTGAGCGTGAGATGGGCGTGCACCGTGATCCCTGCACAGTGGTTACATTGTCTCCAGCGGCTCTGCTGAGAGCCTGCTTCCTGGGCTGTTGTGACATTTAAATGAGATGATATCTGAAAAGTGCTTAGTGTAGTGTCTGGCACAGAGTAATTGGTGATAAAAACCAATACAGTGACTTAAAACAAAACTGTGAGTTGTTAAGGGGAAGACGGTAATTACTAGGATTTCACCTTTGGCTTAGGATGTCCAGGGACATCCTTTTTTTTTTTTACACTGAAAAAATGTTTATATTTAGGATTAGCCAGCTGACTCAGTGCTGGGGATGCCAGTTTTGTTAGCAGCACCCAAAGCCGCCTAGTCGGGAGCCAGTGGCACATACGCCTCCTTCCCTCCATCAGGCCTCGTCAGGGTGTTGACCTTGGTCCCGTCGAGGTCACGGAGCTTCTTCACAGCTTGTTTGACTGGTGCTTGGTGGCCTTGCCCTCCACAGTGAACAGTGTGCTGTTGTCTTCTGTCCTCTTGGTGGCTGACTCGCAGTCAGGGGAGCGTGGTGTGGGCAGAGTGGCCGAGCTAGTTTGTCCTGGGGCGCTTCTCCGAGGATGTTTGGGCTGCCTTCTGAGCCACCGTGCTTGGGCCATCAGAAGGTGGGTGACCTGCAGATTTTGTCGTTTTTTGTGCCTGTGGACACCTTTCAGCCCTGCTTTCTTTGCCTTCAAAGCCTTTGCTTTGGCTTCAGCTTTGGAAGGGACAGGGGCTTCCTTCTTTCACTTCAGCTCCATCTTCATGAAAAGGACATGCTTCTTTTCTATTTCATTTGCTGTGTATTAGCTTGCTCTCTGCTCCCTGCTGGCCATGGGGTCTTACACTCTAAGGGGAGAATTATATATATTAAATACTTAGATATTCATACACACATACTAGAGAGTAATCGATGGCAGTGAAAAGCAAGTGTGACACACTGTGATGTGTATGTTCTAAGTGAGTGTCATGCTCCATACTCCCTGCCACAGTTAAAGACCCTGTGGGACTTAAATGTTTGGATAGTGGTCTTTAATTATCTAAGGGAATAAATGATATCCATTCTAAATTAAGCCAGCATTTTCCTTTGGCATATCTACCATTTAAAAATAGCAGTTCTGATGATTGACAACTGGTAAATAAATGGAAAGAATCAAGGATTTACCCTCCCCTTCCTGTATGCATTTTACTTCTGAGCAACTAAATACCTGACTTAGGAGAGTTTTCTTTTTGAACTGAAGCATACCAACTATAATAGAAGAATGTGTGAATTAGTGTGTCTCCATTTCACAATCCCTAATTAAGAAATGGGCTGTCAGTGGCTGCTAAAACCATTCGGTGAAACAGTGACGGGGAGCTTTATCGTCGACGGGTCAGGCTGAGAGCCACTGCCGCCAGCAGTCAGTCTTTCCAATGTTGTGCCACCTCAGGCCGCGCGGAAACCCAGCACTGTGGATCGATCAGTCGTGCCGGCGATTTTCAGCCCCTTTCATCTCATGACACACACAAACTAATTACTGAAAGTCTGAGACACAGCAAACACTGTATACGTTTTTTGCCAATCTGAAAAAACAAAACAAAAAAACAGGTATACTTTTGATTCATTCACACTGGACAGCTATTGTTGTGTTGGCAGTTGTCGTTTGTTTAATTTGACAGTTTAAGGGAAAAGAGGTCCGTGCCCCTGACCAAACAGTCAGGTACGCATGTTTCTTGCAGCAACACGGGTTGAAAATCTCTGCTTTCTCTTGTAGTTGTCTTCGTGCACCCGCATACATTAAAAACTCCCAAAGACAGTGTTTTCACTTTTCCTTTAAAATTAAAAATATGTTTTAAAGAACTCCAGAGGAGAAGAATAGTCAGGAGAAGAATACTTACCCAGATAGTTGCTATTCTGTGTGTTCTTCCTTCATTCCTGATGTTCCAAGTCTCCTTGTGGAATCATTTCCCTTCTGTCTGGAGAACTTCCTGTAGCAGTTCTTTCAAAGCAAGTCTGCTGGCAGCCGATTCTCTTCGTTTCCGTCATCTGAGAATGCCTTTACTTCACTGTCATTCCTGGAGGATATTTTTACTGCATATAGAATTCTGGGTTGATGGTTTATTTCTTTAAGCGCGTTAGAAATGTTGTGCCACTTCCTCTGGCTTCGATGGTTTCCAGCGAGCTATTTGTAGTCATTCAGATGGTCTCTCCGTAGAGAATACATCATGTTTCTCTGGCTGCTTTGAAGACTTTTTTCCTTTAGTTTCAGCAGTTAGATTATAGTGTGTCTGGGTATATGGATTTCTTTTGCATTCATCCTGTTGAGGGTTCTGTTTGAATCTGTAGGTTTTTATCTTTTGCCATACTTAGTACATTTTTGGCAGTTACTTCTTCAAAAAAATATTTTTTTTAAGTACGGCACTTTTTCTCCTTTCCTTACAGGATGCTGCTAATAACTTTAGATCTTTTCTTATTGTCCCATGGGTCCCTGAGGCTCTGCTCATTTTTTAATCGATTATTTTATCTTTTTATTGTTTGGGTTGGATGATTTCTGTCTTTTTTCATATTTACTTTTTCCTCGGTCTGCTTTCAAGCCCATGTAGTGTGGTTCTTATTTTGGTTACTGTGTTTTGTTCTAAAATTTCCTTCTGGTTCTTCTTTTTATGTCTCCTGCTTTTTGCCAAGACTCTCTGTTTTCCATTTGCTTCGAGAGTGTTTGTGATTGCTTGTTTGAGTATTTGTATAATAGCTGCTTTGAAGTCTTCACCACATCATTTCATCGTCTTTCTTATCTTGGTCTTGATGTCTGTTGAATATCTTTGGCCATAAGCATAGAAATTTTCCGGATTTTTTTTAGATGGCAACTAACTTCGGATTCTATTCTTGGTATTTTGATCACTATGTAGGACAGTCTGGGTTTGGTTTGAATCCTGTGGAGAACGCTTACATTTTTGTTTTAGGAGGCACAGGACCCGGTTGGGTCAGGCCCCAGGTTCCTGCCGGCCCTGTGTGGGCTGCAGTGCCAGCAGTTTCCAAGCTGTTTTCGCAGGGCTGTTTGGTCCTGCCCTGCGTGTGCACCTGCCGTGGTCAGTGTGCGGCCTGGGCCGTGGCGTGAATTCAGTTCTCATCATCCTTGGTGTGCTGACTGGGACC